ATTCGGGTTTTTGGTTTTTAAGGGTTTATATATAGTGTTGATCCTAGTGGCCATGGATCGAAGCATTCATCGTTGAAAGATTCGTCATCGAACAAGAACGAAGATGGATCGTCAGATTAATTCTTAGAACATGTATTTATCATCATCGATCGATTTTTGCATTAGGATTTATAGTAAATTTAAGTTTTTTTTTTTACTTTTTTTTTCAAGTTTTTTAAGTGTTCAAATACTAAATTTTAAAAATCGTAACTATAAAAATATTTATAACATTTTTGTATTATTTTTTGAAGTGTAATCGAATGACCTAATTAAGGATTTTAAAGTTATTTCAATCAGATAAAAAAAAACATCTTCAAACACTTAATATTACGTTCAAAATTGAGTTTTAGGAAGAAAAAAAACCGAGACCAGTTTGGTCCCGATTCGGGACCGGTTCTCATAACCGGTTATGAATCACCTTAACCGGGCCTTAGGTTTTTGGTCGAAACCAGTTACGGGAATAATGTTCAGGACTTTGACCTAGACCGATTGGACCCAACCCGACCCATGAACGATTTTTAGCCGTCTCTATTTGGGATTCTAAAAAACACTGCTCTTTCTTTAATTAACATTGAGTTTTAAAAAGTCCTCTATATCCGAGGAGGCTAATTACTCCAAAGTCAAAATCAAGTGGTCGGTGTCGACCAAAATTTCTATGATCGATACTAGGCTCAACAACTGGTCCCGATCTCGATCCTAACCCAGTTTTTAAAAATCAGTTTGAAAAAAAAATCTACACATAAAATAGTTTGAAAAATCGAACGCAGATATAAGTCATATAACTGGTCCCATACCAAAACGAGATCTTAAATTTTCAGAAAACTGATAGCCATTAGCCAGTCTGAATCATTGAAACATAACATGATAATTGGTTCCTAACCATCTCGAACTCGGGGCAGGGTGGGTTGGGCCAAGCCCGATATCTACAAGGAACATGGAGTCATGGACTACCCCTCGGATTTAGAGTAAACTCTAATTTTGGTCCCTGAGATTTAGGGAAATATTTGAAAGTGAGATATAAACTTTGATAAGTCTAGAAATCGTCGTTGTGGTTCTTATTTTGCTCTGAAAATGACATTTGATCACTAACTCCGTTAACAATATTTGCAAGAGTAAGGAACGTTTTAGTCTTTTTATCTATTTCCTTAAATATATTTTTTAAATATAAATATCTATATCTATACTATCTTATAAAGCATTTGGCTAAAACTCTTAAAAACTCTTAAACTCTTAAAAACTCTTAAACCCATTCATCCTTATCCACTTTCATTCCACATCTGAATTCGTGTAACTAACTGTAGATAAATACAATCAAATACAAGATAAACATCTCATTTTAAATATAAAAATCTAAAATATAATTAGTATAATCATTAAATTCTAACA